AATCCATGAACACGAGTGAAGCCCACGCAAGAAGCCGAGAAGAGTTTTAAAATGCTCCTGCTGCTAAGTAGCAGCCACCTTTTACCCCAATGTGTGTTGACCCATCGGGGATGCGGCGGCAGGCGCATTTGCACTATGCGATGGCAGAAAAATCATCATTGCACCGGATTCGCCTATCTGACATGTGTCAGAAAGCAATCTCAACATTCCCCTCGGAGTCTTCACTCTCCTCCCCGAGGGGCCTACATTTTGGGAGAGCCTTCCGTCGACTGGCAATCATGTGCTCCAATGCAACAGGGTGATGCTCCACATCCGAAAGGAAGCCTGAAATCACAAGAAGGACAAGAAAAGGAGTGCATAGGACTTCAGGAAGAAAACTGACTAAACTTCTTTTCTGCCGAGGAACCCTCGAGCTTTGCCACATGTTTCTCATGTAAACGCCGCGTTGGAGATTGGCGGACCACTACTCCGTAAGGCACCGCAATGGGCGTCTTCTCGAAATTCCAGGATGAAATCCCTTCCGTTTCCATGAGAGGTGTAGAAGAAGTGCCAGGGCTTCTGTGCTCAGAGGCCTCTGTGCTCGCTACGGTGCTCATGTCATCCTCGACTATAGCCTTGGCCTTCGAGGGCGGAATCTCCGACTCCGTTGCCGTCGAGCTGCTGCAGCCCATGGTGACCAGGAAAGCTCCCCAAAAAGAGCGATTTCCTTCGGAGCCCGTCCAGCTGAGCCGAAAGAGCCACGAGTCACAAGAGCCCTTCATCCATGCATGCTGGGACATGCAGCGGGGACCCTTTCCCGAGGAAAGATAGCTGACCCTTGGAAAGTCAAAGGCTTCCAAACCTAGTACGCTCCAAGCCCAGGTCTCTCGTGCCGAACCATGAGCAGATACCAACAGGCCTGCACGGAAACAAATACGGTGCACCCGGCAGCTAGTGGACGAGTATTTAATACACGGACACAGGCAAATGGGAAGAATTTATCTGTCCTGGCACTCCAGCAGTCGCAACACTTGCTCCCCTGCGCTGCAGGTGAAGTGTGCTGCATCACATTGTAAATACACGGTGTCGCGACGCAAAGCATCAACCTCGCTGCCGGGCTCCGCACGAGGATGATGGCACTGCCACGGCCAACGAGCACACTCTCTGTTCCCACATCCTGGCCAATGCAAAGAGGAGTCTGTTGGTGTGATGCACGTGTCCGCCCAAAGTGGACTTCAAGTGGTGGGGCCCAAGTATCTCACGCAGGCGACTGCATTAGTGCGAGTCGCCACAGATCAACCGAGCCAACAGACAAGCCTTGCGAGCGACCTCAGCGACCTCGAATAGCACTGCATCTGAATCAAGGCGAGCAGCACAACACACCCGCAGCACACTGCTGCAAACTTGGCTGCGGCATGGCCACCCGCAGTCCACAACGACGTCTAAAAGCTTGCAACATGAAGTGAGCTACAAAAGACGGGAGCTTCGAAAGCTGTCCAGAAACACGGGCACCCAAGCCCTTCGTGAGAGCTTCAAAGCCTACCTCGGGGAGCGGGAGGAGGATGGGAGGGAGGGCATAAGCAAGCTGGCCCAAAGAATCTTCCATACAAATCCACCCACAGTGGGTCCCAACATGTCCCAAAACCCTTTTTTTGCATCAGGACTTGCGCAATCGCCTGAATGTCCGAGCCCGCAGAAGTCCCAAAACCCTTTTTACACCTGGACAACGCATATGCCAGTCCTAAAACCCTAAACCCTAAACCCTTTTGACTAAACCCTGTCCTTCTGCACAAAGGACAGGAACTTCCGGACGTGGCGCAGCGCAGGCACCTCGGAGAAACTTCGGCTCCAGCAGACCCCCTTGAGGTTTTTCGGGTGTGCACTTCAAAGAGTAGGGTTTAGGGTTTAGGGTTTAGGGTTTAGGGTTTAGGATGTTTTGTGGCCCGACGAAAGTTTGCTTGGCTTGATTTTGGCTCGGCTTGGGATGCACCCGTACCTGCCGGAAGAGCAACACAAATATGAGTTTAGACGGGTTCTCCGTCCTTTGCAATGATGCTCGGCTTGGCACAGCTCAGCGACTGTCAGCGAGAAATCCCATGGCCTTTTTCGACGGAATTCTGAACGCTGAACACCAACCCTGTTCAGAGCCGGGCCGACGTCGCCTGCCGCGCATCCGTCCGAATGAAGAGCACCTATGCCGGTGGCAGGAAGAGCTTGGATCCAAGGTGTGGACCGGGGAATTTGTTGACTGAACCTGATAACGACGGTAAGTACTCAATAAAATAGATGCTCAATGTAACATGCCCTCGAGCATGAGATCCTACATGGACGGTCCATGCACAGAGTGCACCTTTAACATGACATCATCTTTTCGGCCGGCGAAGCTCGAAAGAACACTGTAGCGAGAACAGCCCAGAGATGCGCCCAGCAAAACTATGAAGCCTTTTCGCGACGAAGTGCTTGATTACAGTCAGCAACAGCACAAGCAGCAGCAGTGGTAGCGGGTGGCGGGTAGCAGGTAGCGTGCAGGCGGCAGGCATCGGAGAGCACTGGCGGAGTAGCGCATAGGGAAGCGGGTAGCAGGCCGCGTGGAACAGCACCAGCAACTGCAGTGGCAATGGCAGAGCATCAGCTGCATCAGCAGTCGCAGTAGCTGCAGCAGCA